AAACCGCCTTGATCACTTTGAACCACCAAAGTAATGACCGTCGCGACTGTAAAGAAAAAATACATTATAACATATTTTGTAGTACAAGTTGTTAGGATTACCTCCACCTAGTCTGACAAGATACCCGCTAGGTGGCGCTCTTTCAGTTCTAGTAAAGAACAGACATAAATCTTTCTACCGCTCTCTCTTTACGGTTTTTCTCCAAAATGAAACAGCTTCAATCATTATCCCTGTCCCTGCCTAGGGGAAATTTCTTTATGCCCGGTGGTCAACTACGAGATTTAAGCATAAACATTATGCGCCCCCCAAAGTCTACTACTAATACTACTCACAGGTATATCTTCCCTTTTCGTATAAGAATATGCACACGGTCTAATAGATAGCGGCTCTGAATGCGAAATTGGAGAGCAGGGTTCGAATTCCAATCACAAATATCTTTGGGAATGGTATGAATTTCTCTTCTGCCAACTAGGGATCTTGTTTTACTGCCATTCAGAGTTGTACACAGAGCCTTGCCCGCAGTGTTAATCTTTTAAGGTCTTTAAGTGTGCATGAATCTTCAAGGTTAGAGCAAACTAGATGATGCACCATAGTTTATAATTGCTCGCATTGACAGTTCGAATCATGATCGGTAGCGTATCTCCATTTCTGAAGGTTTGGCCCTACATCGATCAACAGCTGACCAGAAGGGACTGGCATCAATGAGGCCAGGGCGAGGGATTCTCTAGGATCGATACAGAGCCTGTCTTCTACCTTACTAAGGACTGTTGTTCAATGGTTCAACTCAATGTAGAAAGCTTATCTTGAGCCTCTTTGCTTCAGAGCCATTGAGTGAATGATAAAGGTTAGTCTCCTGCTTCAACTATGGGTTAAATAGTAGAACTCGTATCTGGAAAAATTTTTGTTATCTCCAAAAATTATCAATGCAAAAAAGAAGAATTATTCTTACAGCCAAAATATATTTTGACTTTAAGTAACCCACAAGCAGCTGATAAGCTATAAAAAAGGAATCAAATATTTAACTAATCAACTATTCTTGATATAAAAATATATGTGTAAAAATCCTCCAATGTGTCGAAATTCAGTTTCTTCAAACGTTCTCAACCTTGTTCCGATGAAAACTTGGAGACACGAAAGCTCTAGAAAAGGGGCTCTCAACCGCGGGGGGGGGGGGATTTCGGGGTTTCGTGGGGGAAATCTTTTACTTTTTCTTGTTTTTTATTTACAGAATTTCGTTTATTGAATTACAATACTCTGGATTTTTATTGAACTTTGTGCTTATTGAAGTCTGCTTCATTTTATTTATGTAATAATTAGTTATAAATTAAGACAAATTACTGAAGATGTATTCAAGTTTAAAAATCCATCAAAATTTTCTCTTGCTATTACATTTGTAAAACTCATCTATAAAAATAATCCATGTCAATGTAGATATACTAATATGGACAAGAATGGAGATTTTCCATAATATATGGACAATTTCGGAAATTAAATTTTGACTTATGATAAAAAATGTGCATTGGGCAAAAAAGGTTAAGAACTACTGCACTAGAATAATCAAAAATTAAATTTGTATTTCATTGAAAACCTTCCAGCATGTCTTTTATGTGTCATGTCCTTTTATGGCTCGCTTCTTCAGGAATGTATTCTTTGTATTAGATAGGTATAAGTTAGATTTGTAGCGAATTAAAATTGTGATTTTGCACTTTCATCTGGTCTAATCACAAATTTTGTTGCTGTATAAATGTTTTTTTTTTTATTAATAGTGTCCGGCGTGCGTAGTAGGATAGAAAAAAGAAGTTTTTCAATGTTTTTCCTGACTGGCTCTCGTTTGGAAAGTATGTGTAAATGTGAGTTTGTACATATATACAGTCTTGTTTCTGTTAGCAGCGGTTGAAAAAATTAAATCACGTCGGGGTCTCCAATCTGTAGAGGACCGTGTGGGTTTGAGTGTTGTTAAATTAGGAACACGTGCTGTTTCTTTCCTGCTAGAAGAAGGTCCAACTACAAGAACATGGTGGACTAAAGTTGAGTCCAACCGAAGATTAATTAAAACAAACCGACGTATATATATAAACAAATATATATATTAAACAACAAATTTACAAGTGACAAAGACATCAAAATTTGTGTTTGTGTGTGAACGTAAAAAGTTTGTATTTTGGTGAATGTTCGTGAATGTACGTGTATGTGTGTATAATGTTCACGGCATCTTCCACAAAAGGGAAGACGCTATCTTCTGTGGGAGCTTACATTGTAGATGTGTTTGTTGAAAATGAAGAAATGAAAAAGAGAACGAGGCAAGAAGTCGCCAGTATTTATAGTGTAAAGAGAGCGACCCCTAGTGAACAATTAGGGAATTAAGGAGGAGCTAACTCCGACAGATTCTTTAAGAATGGATTCAAAGAAAGATGGAGATGTTAGATGTTTTAGGTGTGTGTTTATATTATGGTAAATCTTCATTTTTTTCCATATGAGTATATATACGTTTACATGGATTATTTTTATAGATAAGTTTTACAAATTTAATAGCAATAGAAAATATTGATGGATTTTAAAACTTGAATACATCTACAGTAATTTGTTTTAACTTATAACTAAATTATTAAATGAATAAATTGAATCAGACTTCAATAAGCTAAAAGCTCCATCGAATATCAGGATACTGTAATTCAATAAACGAAATTCTGTAGATAAAAAACAAGATTATCGAAAAATAAAATAAAATTTAATTCAGGATGTAAAAATTCAAGAACTAATCAAACTTTTGTAAAATTTAAAATATAATAATCAACACATGAGAATGAAATAAAACCTTTCTTGCCTTTTTTTTAGGTCTTGGAAGAAGAACAGGCGAAGCTGTTGAAGAAGCTTTGGGTGGATTCCTCGATTCATTCTTGCCAGGGTTTTCCACTTTTTGACGACAATGTGAAGCGTTTATTTCTACGACAGACATTTTGATGGGAGTTCAAAAGAAACAAAATTTTTGATTCTGTCTTTTTTCAAATATTTATTCTTTTTACTTTCTCAAAAGAATTTAGATATTTCTTCACTTCTTTTTAAATATTGACTGATTCCTTATTTTTTTTACGGTTTATCAACCCTTTATGGATTATTTAAAGTCGAAAAATATTTTGGATTGTAAGAATATTTTTTGCAAGTGAATATTCCATTAACAATTTTTGGAGATAATAATTTTTCTAGATCAAAGTCTTACTGTTTAAGCCATAGCTGGAGGAGAGATGTATTCATATCCTTCCAAAGCGTATTTACGTGTAAGTGAATGTAACGATCACGATCGAAATTCGAACTCGGCTCCCCTTTTAAAAATATTTTGTTTGCATTGCATTAAAAAAGATTAAATTGACCAATGAAAACATCTAACATAATTTGTTATTCAATAATGAAATCCAATAATTTTTGTCAGATATTTCATTTCTGCTTTATTGATACCAATGGAGAGCGAAAAATTTTTCTCTTTCTTTTGCTTACAGATTTAATCTCATCTCCAAGTTCAGGATTTTGAAAGTGTTTTTTGGGGGGTACATCGACACCACTATAATGGTCAAAAGTCTTTTTATGTTGGTTCTTTCATCTTATTTTGCTGTTATTCCATATACAAGCTTTATTTCTTTTCGTTGCCACTTGTTAAGTATATAAGGAAGGATGAAAATGAAGTCGATGACCTCGGAAACCACTTGTTTATAATCAATGTATTTGTAATCTCTCGCTTACTTGAACTGTAACGCCTGTCTCCCACACACGACTCTGCCTTGCCCCAACCAAATCAAGCATTATTGTTACATCCACATTCTCAGCCGAACAGAAATGGCAGGAGGTGACAATACAGTGAGAGTGAAACTAGTCTTCATTCAGCTAGCCGACATTTAAGAAAGTAATTTTCATGGTGCATCGACATATATATATATATATATATATATATATATATATATATATATATAATGGTCTTGAAAATCCAAAATTTTTAGAAGCTTGTAGTTCCTTCAGGAATACCAAAGTAAACAAAATGGAGCTGCATTTTACCTTAAATAGTTCTGAACATAAGTCTTTCAGAAAAAATAGACGATCAGATTGCAATGTAACAAATACATGGTTTAATATCAGAATCATAAAACGATAAAGTTGCCTTGTCAATATCTTAAGCAAAACTTTTCTTAACGGCGTTGCGTTATGAGCGAATCCTGCTATATGTGCATTAAGTATAAGAAAATATCTGTGGATATATGTAATTTATTTTAATTTGGGGAAACTTAATGATGTTTTGAAAATATATGAAAAGAGCATTTATTTTATAGCATAAAATCTTTCTTTACTTAATAACAATTTAACCTCAAAGTTTAGTTAATAACTATTCGAATATGGAATTATTGATGATGCATTTTTGTCTACTTCTCATCTATATATGATTTTAGATCATATAAGTATATAAATGTAAAAAATACAGACGTATACACACATATAGAAGCAAATATTGTCGAGTGTGTGGCGGGGAGAAGGACCTATTTTTGTGCACGCACAAGACAGTGTTCTCTGCCTTGACACACACTCCGCAGAAAATTTTGTGTCCCTCTGAAAAGCTTGCGTTTCAATAGAAAAGTCTCATGAAACAACTTTTTTTTATTTTAAACAATTTTACTTAGGGTCGGGATTTATTTCACTTCTGGTAGAGGATTCAATTTACCTTTGGGTAGAGGAATTCTATTTTCCTTAGGGTGGGGTTATGCTATTTTCCTTGGGGTGAAGAATTCTATTTTCCTTGGGGTAGGGGGATTTTATTTTCCTTGTCTTAGGTGAGATTCTATTTTGTTTGGAGTAGGGAAATTTTATTTTCCTTGGAATGTGGTGGGGGTCTATTTTCAATGAGATAAGGGGATTCTGTTTTCTTTGGGGGTAGGTAGATTCTATTTTCCTTGAGGTAGAGGGGGATTCTATTTCCCTTGGGGTAGGGGGGATTCTATTTTGCTTGGGGTAAGTAGATTCTATTTTCTGTAGGGGGTGTCTATTTGCTTTGGGGTAGGAGGATTCTCTTTCCTCTACTATCCTCTTCTCTGCATCTCTGCATTTTACAATAATCTGGCTGAAGAAAAGCAACATAGATTTGTGCGTAAGTAAATCTTGCTTGTGTCAAGTATGCATGAACAATGTCGAACATATACAATCATTAATAGATCAATGGGAAGTAAGATATCTTTGACAAAAATATCAAAATCTCTTGCGCGAGTGTAGTAAGACTTGTATCCATTAATATTTTCTATAGAGGAAGTAAATACATCCAAATACTGGAAGTGTTGTCGCCATTCAGAGAGAAATGTGAAGAAATCATTGGTCCGTGTAAAACTGTTGCTTGAGTCAATTTGATCTGGAGTAGAAGAGAAATTCCCTAAAGTAAGCAATCGTTATGATGCAATGTGTAGCGAATGAGTGCTGTAGGTTTGAAATAGAACAAAACCTAGCGGGGCCTCCTGGCAGACAAGGTTGGATAATCCCCACAAATACATTCATCAAAGGTAAGTTTAAAAGGTGGAACCATTACGTGCCATGCTGTCATGGAGGTACTTTGCAAGCCATTCCTTTCCTTTTCTCTTCATTTTCTTTCTATTTCTATCTTTTTTTTAAACATGTCTGCTTCCAGCAATTCCTGTTTATTCCGAATTTCTTGTTTGCAGACACACACAGTCCAAACGTAAGTACAAAGGCAGAAACACATTACCTCACGTCTTTGCTTTTCCCAACTCTAAACAAAAAAACAACAATTTGAATGCTCACTCGTTAATCACTGCCCCATTCAACCTGCTCATCGAATACAAATCCAACCCTCAACAGTCAAACAAAGCATATTGATTGGCTATAAACAATTATGAGGCTCCTCCTCTTTCTCAGAACTAGCCAATACCATTCAGGCCAAATCATTTCCGCTCTTCATTTATTAAATATTCTATTATTCTTTCTATTTCCTTCTTTCATCTTTCTCTGTTTCGCACAATGTACGTATTTTTTTTCATTTTCATTGATTTTTAATCGATTTACATTTCAAATTAATACACCTCATAAATAAATAAATCTGAAAAATTCAATAAGTTTAAATCAAATTTCAAAATTAAAAAAAATACCCATATTTACCTTTTTTGTTGATTCCAGGTGAAGTTTGTGTGTTTAAAAATCTTTAATTCACTTTAATCTAATTCCCTGTCTTTTATTGTTTTTCGACAGGAAGAAGGTATATATATATATATATATATATATATATATATATATATATATATATATATATATATATATATATATAGTTTGGAAAAACTAGGTAATCCGTATGGGTAAACCTAAGGAGGATAAAATCAGAGAGCTCAATGTAAATTCAGAGCAAATAATTTAAATAAAAACAGACCACTATAAGGTTCCATGTCATAAATTATTTCACCACAGCCCTTTTAAAAGGACTGCGTATCATCAGACTTTACTTCCAAAAAAAAAAAAAAAAAACTTTTTGGGAGTAAAGTCTGATGATCCGCAGTCCTTTTAAAAGGGCTGTGGTGAAATAATTTATTACTTGGAACCTTAAAGTGGTCTGTTTTTATTTAAATTATATATATATGACGTCACACATTATGAAATGGACAAAGTCCGATAATTATTTTAAGAAATTTTTATGTTTATTCATTCTTTTTATAGATACAAATATTTAAGTAAATGCTCTGTTTATAATAAACAGTATTAATAACATTTACCGACCTGAATGTCCGAGAAATTTTCATAGAAAATATTCGACAGGAATCGAACCTGTATCCTATATGGAACCGTCATTTAGCCTGACGTGCTTTAACCGATCGAGCCACGCTCGATTAGCAAGGTCGATTTTACTGTTTTTAAACTTCAATTTTCCATGAATCTCTCACGTACATTCATATCTGCTCAAATCGACCTTGCCAATCGAACAATTATATATTCTATAATTATATAGACATATTGTGTTTTTACTTATTTTTAAGCTGACCATTTCCAGCTGTCGATTTAGTTTCTCCATGTTAAGATGAAAGTCATCAATGAAGGTGCCATAATTTTTGATAACCCAAGTACATTCGATCTTTTCCATCTTTTTTATCATCAGGGGCAAATTACAAAGACAAATACTGAAAGGCTTGTTTTGTAAAAAATCCATATCTACAACAGATAAATTTATAATTTTGAAATAATTATACAGCGAGTACGCGCGTGTTTTTAAAAAGCACCATCACAATAGACTGCGGCTTTTATCGGAATTATAATAAGTTTATCTTTGTAATTTACCTTTGAAGATGATCTTGGAAAAGCAAAAACAAACCCACTTAGACGCAAGAGGGGTTGTGAAAGAATATAAGAAAAAGAAAAACATTATTAGGGAGAAGAACAATAAAAGAACAGAATTTAAGAAAACAGAAGATAACGATTGACATTGCATTTAAATTTTTAAAGATCAAACTTGACTGGAAAGCAAGACGATAG